GGCACTTCTCCATCAAGTCACTCTGCACAACTATCTTCATATCTTCCCGTCCTCAAGCGCCTGCTAGACAAGTCTTTACCTGACAAGAGCTACCACAGTAATGGTAAGTTACGAACCGCTCCCACACATACCGTCTCCCTACACCCACACCCACACACATTACCCACACACTTTCTCTTCCCACGTGCTTGGCTATAACGGACACCCCTCATAACGCACTCACGCGCCCTCCCACGCTGGTTATGAATGACAATGTCCTCATATATTCTGTTGACTCTCCTTCAATATTAATCACTCGGTGCCCGAGGGATAGTTTATTTAAGCTGTTTTATCTTTATGTCAAGTGTTTTGTTTGAGATGGCTGCTGGATGGACGTGGCAGCTGCTGGAAGGACGTGGCAGCTGCTGGATGGACGTGGCAGCTACTGGATGGACGTGGCAGCTGCTGGATGGACGTGGCAGCTGCTGGATGGACGTGGCAGCTGCTGGATGGACGTGGCAGCTGCTGGATGGACGTGGCAGCTGCTGGAAGGACGTGGCAGCTGCTAGAAGGACGTGGCAGCTGCTGGATGGACGTGGCAGCTGCTGGATGGACGTGGCAGCTGCTGGATGGACGTGGCAGCTGCTGGATGGACGTGGCAGCTGCTGGATGGACGTGGCAGCTGCTGGATGGACGTGGCAGCTGCTGGATGGACGTGGCAGCTGCTGGATGGACGTGGCAGCTGCTGGATGGACGTGGCAGCTGCTGGATGAACGTGGCAGCTGCTGGATGAACGTGGCAGCTGCTGGATGAACGTGGCAGCTGTTGGATGGACGTGGCAGCTGCTGGAAGGACGTGGCAGCTGCTGGAAGGGCGTGGCAGCTGCTGGATGGACGTGGCAGCTGCTGGAAGGACGTGGCAGCTGCTGGATGGACGTGGCAGCTGCTGGATGGACGTGGCAGCTGCTGGAAGGACGTGGCAGCTGCTGGAAGGACGTGGCAGCTGCTGGAAGGACGTGGCAGCTGCTGGATGGACGTGGCAGCTGCTGGATGGACGTGGCAGCTGCTGGATGGACGTGGCAGCTGCTGGAAGGACGTGGCAGCTGCTGGAAGGACGTGGCAGCTGCTGGAAGGACGTGGCAGCTGCTGGAAGGACGTGGCAGCTGCTGGAAGGACGTGGCAGCTGCTGGAAGGACGTGGCAGCTGCTGGAAGGACGTGGCAGCTGCTGGATGGACGTGGCAGCTGCTGGAAGGACGTGGCAGCTGCTGGAAGGACGTGGCAGCTGCTGGAAGGACGTGGCAGCTGCTGGAAGGACGTGGCAGCTACTGGAAGGACGTGGCAGCTACTGGAAGGACGTGGCAGTTGCTGGATGGACGTGGCAGTTGCTGGATGGACGTGGCAGCTGCTGGAAGGACGGGGAAGCTGCTGGAAGGACGTGGCAGCTGCTGGAAGGACGTGGCAGCTGCTGGAAGGACGTGGCAGCTGCTGGATGGACGTGGCAGCTGCTGGATGGACGTGGCAGCTGCTGGATGGACGTGGCAGTTGCTGGATGGACGTGGCAGTTGCTGGATGGACGTGGCAGTTGCTGGATGGACGTGGCTGTTGGTGCTGCGAGTCGTAGTTGTTTAAAAGACGTAGTTAATAAGATTGTTTGGTTACTTATGGTGTAGTCGAGATGGGTTAAACTGGGCAAGTTATGTTACATTTAGCTAAGTTACATCAACGAAACGCGAGGAGATTAACTACGACTGAAGCATTATATATATATATATATATATATATATATATATATATATATATATATATATATATATATATATATATATATATATATATATATATTGGTCCAAACTGATCCTGGGGCTGGTGGGTCCTCGTCCCATGGAGGCGGGAAGCTGGGGTTTACATATCTTAAAATCCAGTGGCGGGAATTTGTTAAAAGATGCTTCAATTTAACTCATCAGGAACGATAATGTGTAAAGTGCCATGTATATAATTTCGTACAAATGTCATTAACACAGTTTCGTCATTATTGAACGAGAACGAAGTGGTTGTTGGGATGATTTTTTTTTTTTTACACAAAGATATTCGGAAATTGAAACCGTTAGAAGAAATTTAAATATTTCCCGCCTAAGGGGGTACTTGTTGATTTTCTCTTTAGAGTGGGTGAGTTCTAATATTTGTGTGTACCTATTTGTGCGTACTAACTAAACTTGTGTACTTACTGAGGCGGGACTTTAGTTCTGGGGGTCCTGCCTCTTAAATGGAACTGTGTATCAACTTACCTATTTGCGCTTGTGCGTGCGCGTGCGTGCGTGCGTGCGTGCGCGTGCATGCGTGCAGGTAATGGACTTCGGCTCCAGGGCCCCGTCTCTCATTCGTTAACCAAAAAAACTCTCTCTCCAATTCCCGAGGTTTGGTCGTGAACATTTGACCTGTTGTATGAAGCTCAAATTCCATTACCTCAAGACTTAGTCCGTTTCCCTCTCTTACACAGAGGTTCACTTTCCTCTCTGTCCCCCTCATCCCAGCTGCTCCCCTCTGTCCCCCCTCACCTCAGCTGCTCCCCTCTGTCCCCCTCACCCCAGCTGCTCCCCTCTGTCCCCCCTCACCCCAGCTGCTCCCCTCTGTCGCCCCTCACCTCAGCTGCTCCCCTCTGTCCCCCTCACCCCAGCTGCTCCCCTCTGTCCCCCCTCACCCCAGCTGCTCCCCTCTGTCCCCCCTCACCTCAGCTGCTCCCCTCTGTCCCCCTCACCCCAGCTGCTCCCCTCTGTCCCCCTCATCCCAGCTGCTCCCCTCTGTCCCCCCTCACCCCAGCTGCTCCCGTCTGATATCTGGGAACAAGGAGAGGATTGTGGGTGTTGGATTAGTAGATAACACCAGGTGCTTGACACATTAGTGCAAGGATTGAATAGACTTTAACTGGAATAATCTCTAATACAATGTATGAAGAGGATGCGAATAAGTTTATTAGTGTAGACGGTTCATTTTCGTTAGACAAGAGTTGTATAGTGTAATAAAGTATATTGTTAAACATGCTTCAGTGTTGATGCCTAGACTAGCTACCAGAGAGAGAGAGAGAAGATTAAGCCACCCAAAAGGTGGCTTGGGCATGAATAGCCCATAAGTGGTGGCCCTTTTGAGCCATTACCAGTATCAATAGATGATACTGGAGATGTGTGGAGGTGCGCCTGCACCCTGCGTGACGGGAGATGTGTGGAGGTGCGCCTGCACCCTGCGTGACGGGAGATGTGTGGAGGTGCGCCTGCACCCTGCGTGACGGGAGATGTCTCCCCTAGACTAGACTAGCTACCGAGAGAGTATTTCATATATATTGTTGTGCATCCCAAATGTTCTCAGGCGCCCGATTGATTGGTGAAGATTACGCCACCCAAGAGGTGGCACGGGCATGAATAGCCCGTAATCAGGCACGCAGATTACGGACCTTCATGCTGACGCTTGTGCTGTGGTGTGGCCGGTGACCGCAGCACACTGTGCTGTGGGAACAGGCAGAGTTCACTCTCAGCTAATTACCTCATTATGGCCGGCGTGACCGAAAACTTTTAGAATTTCATCGAGACTCAATATTACGTAATTTCCCTTCGTTTATTTGTAGTGGCTGATGTGGACAACCTTCCCGGTGTCTGCCATCACAGACGGGGAGGAACACCCCTTCCTTCTTTAATATATTCACCGGTCCATTATTACTGGTCTATAACCAGAAGCTTCGAGGTTAAACACACAGAAATCACAATTGCATGATGCATCAAATGAACAAAGAACAAATGAAAAACAAAGATTTGACTATGTCATAGCTCAGTCGATTAAGGCAGCGTTTGGGATGCTCTCGGACGTAGGTTCGAATCCTCGTCACGGCCCTTGTGGATTTGTTCCTTCGAAGTAAATTTGATATCGAGCTTTCCACCGACGGACTCCTCCTCCTCCTCCAGGTGGGTCTTGTAAACATGACCCAAACCCTCAGTGGGACGGTATTGACCACTGTGCCTAGTGGGAGATTCCCTTATTATTGAATTCTGCATAAAGAGGCACAAGACTTCTTGCCTTTGGCTGGTGTTTTGCTCAGGTAATTTATTCTTTAACCTCGATAGTTTCCTTCATAATAATTCGACGTAACCTGGGCAAAGGATTGTCAACATCCAGTGTTTATCAGTCATTTTCTCGGATAAATTGGGAAGAAATGCGATAATCGGACATTATAAACGGAGGAACCGGCAAGTATCAGAGGTCAGAACTGATGACATTGGAGAAGTGAATGGAATGGAATTGTCAGGAGAAAGCGCCAAGCCATTACGACTGGCTTGGAAAGGGGGCCTTGTATATATAGCACTGGGAAAGGGGTCAGGATAAGGATTTGGGATGGGACGGGGGAAAGGAACGGTGCCCAACCACTTGGACGGTCGGGGATCGAACGCCGACCTGCATGACGCGAGACCGTCACTCTACCGTCCAGCCCAAGTGGTTGGGGAAATGAAGTGAAATGTTTTGGTTGAGTGGTTGAAGAATATAGTTGAACTTGTATTTCTGGACATGTGTGAAGCAGAGTATCACCGCTGAACACAATACGAGTTTGATGCCCCGTGATTCTTGTCCATGAAGTAATGAGGCGCCATTATGACCCCCTTTATGGACCCAGCAAATATTGACCTTGTCACAGGACACAGTTGGGCTGAGTTTGCCCTCCCTCCCTCGTAATGGCCTCCCCCTGCCTCCACCCACCTCCCCTCGGCCTCCACCCGCCTCCCCCTCGGCCTCCACCCACCTCCCCCCCTCAACCTCCACCCACCTCTCCCCCTCAACCTCCACCCACCTCCCCTCAACCTTCTGCTTTACTCATTTTAATGTTTTTGCTACAAAACTTATGTTTAGCAAATAACCAATTAGAAGATGGGGCGTAGAAACTAAGAGCTCGACCTTGCAAGCACATCTAGGCGAGCACACACACACACACACACACACACACACACACACACACACACACACACACACACACAGTAACTCACCTGGGGGTAGTGAGAGGAGGAGGAGGATGAGAGGAGGGTGTTGGCCGCCCCGGGTGTAGAAGGTAGTGACCATCACCACCACCGTCCCGGAGATTCACCACCTTCACCATAGCACCTGTGGGAGGAGAGCAACAACCTCCTTAAGTCACCACCTTCACCATAGCACCTGTGGGGGGAGAGCAACAACCTCCTTAAGTCACCACCTTCACCATAGCACCTGTGGGGGGAGAGCAACAACCTCCTTAAGTCACCACCTTCACCATAGCACCTGTGGGGGGAGAGTAACAACCCCCTTAAGTCACCACCTTCACCATAGCACCTGTGGGGGGAGAGCAACAACCCCCTTAAGTCACCATCTTCACCATAGCACCTGTGGGGGGAGAGCAACAACCCCCTTAAGTCACCACCTTCACCATAGCACCTGTGGGGGGGAGAGTAACGACCCCCTTAAGTCACCATCTCTCTCAGTACTCACCTTCACCACATCACTTCCAGTAATGCAACATTGTCCATCTTGAGAGATGCTTCAAGTGAGCTAAAGAATCTCTCGTGAGATGTCTCCTATATTTTTTATGATGTATCGCTTAATGTTAAGTTGTTATTTATTTTTGAATTTAGTCCACAGGCAAGACATCATCTCTGACAAGGCAGAAGAAGGTGGCTCTGTCAAAGAGCACCTGGCCACAAGTATCCTGTCCAACAACACTAAAATAATCGATGGATACAATAACGATGGAATATTTGACAAACACAGCATAGCTAACACTTTACAATCACCAGCCTGTGTTTGTGACTGGCTTACCCGAGTCCCGGTGCTTCCTGCGTCAGCCGCTGCCCGTGTTGAAGCAAGCAGCCTCCCCTGGTGCTTCCTGTGTGTCAGCCGCTGCCCGTGTTGAAGCAAGCAGCCCCCCCCCCTGGTGCTTCCTGTGTGTCAGCCGCTGCCCGTGTTGAAGCTAGCAGCCCCTTGGTGCTTCCTGTGTGTCAGCCGCTGCTCGTGTTGAAGCAAGCAGCCCCCTTGGTGCTTCCTGCGTCAGCCGCTGCCCGTGTTGAAGCAAGCAGCCCCCCCCCTGGTGCTTCCTGCGTCAGCCGCTGCCTGTGTTGAAGCAAGCAGCCTCCCCTGGTGCTTCCTGTGTGTCAGCCGCTGCTCGTGTTGAAGCAAGCAGCCCCCTTGGTGCTTCCTGCGTCAGCCGCTGCCCGTGTTGAAGCAAGCAGCCCCCCTGGTGCTTCCTGCGTCAGCCGCTGCCCGTGTTGAAGCAAGCAGCCTCCTGGTGCTTCCTGCGTCAGCCGCTGCCCGTGTTGAAGCAAGCAGCCCCCCTGGTGCTTCCTGCGTCAGCCGCTGCCCGTGTTGAAGCAAGCAGCCCCCCTGGTGCTTCCTGCGTCAGCCGCTGCCCGTGTTGAAGCAAGCAGCTGCCCGTGTTGAAGCAAGCAGCCCCCCTGGTGCTTCCTGCGTCAGCCGCTGCCAGATCGGTTTATGCAAATTATATTGACTTGGAGATGAGTTCGCTTTACAACCAGTATGCTGGATACCCGGAACATTTGCCAAAGAAATTTAAAAAAAAAGAATACCTTCATATTAATGAGAACTTCAGTAATGTGTTTTCCACCATCTGCTCAGTACGTGATTACAAAACAATATTAAATGTAAAAAAAAAAAAATAGGTATAAGTACTTACCATTTTGGTCGCATAACCTTTGCTTTACAACGTTGTCCGAACAACGGATATTGATTATTGGGGAAACTCTTCAGATAGGGAACCTATACTTAACATATTCAAATTTTTTAAATTCGAAATATAATTTTTCTTAGAGGAATACGAAGTATCAAACTCAATATTGGGATACTGGAGCCTAGAGAGGAATAACAGACAAGGAGAGCAAACGCCCATAGATGTAACAGAAGACTTATGACGTGTCAGGCAGGAAACATGTCAGGCCAGTTGGGGAGGGAACAGCCAGCAAAGCCAGACCTCATCTTTTCACAACAGGGGATGGGTAGTGGCCATAAAATGCAAATATTGACCCTTGATCAATATTTATTAAATGTTGATTATGTATTTGCAATGAAAGCTCTTTCTCTCTCTCTCGAGAGAGAGAGGAAGGGAGAGAGGGAGAGGAAGGGAGAGAGAGAGAGGAAGGGAGAGGAAGGGAGAGGAAGGGAGAGAGGGAGAGGAAGGGAGAGAGAGAGAGGAAGGGAGAGGAAGGGAGAGAGGGAGAGGAAGGGAGAGAGAGAGAGGAAGGGAGAGAGAGAGAGGAAGGGAGAGAGAGAGAGAGAGGAAGGGAGAGAGAGAGGAAGGGAGAGAGAGAGGAAGGGAGAGAGAGAGAGAGAGGAAGGGAGAGAGAGAGAGAGGAAGGGAGAGAGGGAGAGGAAGGGAGAGAGGGAGAGGAAGGGAGAGAGAGAGAGGAAGGGAGAGAGGGAGAGAACTACTCTGCAAAACGTGCTCAACTTGAATGCCATGGAAAATGAAACAGGTTTTCAGCAGCAGTAGAACTGACACGTGACGTATGTAACTAGTTACACAACAAGTCTCGTTTACCGAGGCGAGTGTGTCTGAGCTACGAGGTAACACTGAGGGGAGGAATGGCCCTCACTACCCAGTAGGAGAGCAGGAAGAGCTAGCATATGGCTACACATAACACTCCAAGGTGTACATATGTGTGTGTGTACATATAACACTCCAAGGTGTACATGTGTGTGTGTGTACATATTACACACACAAGTCGCCGAGGTCGTGTCGGGAGGAATTTCTTCATCGTGAGTGTTGAAAATACTTGTGTAAATTAAGGAATAATTAAAGCTAACTAAATACATACACTGTGAATGTGGTATGAAAAGTAAGACAATAGTTACTGGATTAAAATACTGAGTGCAATGTGTGAAGGACTTTGTGTATCTGGCTTCGTAGTCAGGTGTGGATGGAAGCCTTTTTTATATGTGGCGTCGGAGGCAACACAGGTAGTCAGGTGTGGATGGAAGCCTTTGTATATGTGGCGTCGGAGGCTTCACAGGTAGTCAGGTGTGGATGGAAGCCATTGTTAACCTGGGGTAGGCAGCGAGGCATCGTTAGACAGCCGTGAACAACCAAATATCCGGTGGGTGATGACTTCATTTCCTTCTGTTTGCTGCTAATATTGTTGGTGTCACTGACAGCGCCGGGATGCTGCCTCTGGGTGATGATGTCGGTGTGATGATGATGCTGATGGTGTCAGTGTGATGATGATGGTGTCAGTGTGATGATGATGATGATGGTGTCTGTGATGATGGCATCATCACACTTGTCAATATGATGTTATGTTTGGTGTGTGTCTGTATATGCTGTGTGTTGTTGAGTTGATGTATGTGTGTGTGTGTTGTGCAGTTTCTCTAGGGATTAAGCTATAAGAAATCTAAGGAAGATGAACTTCGCCTTATTGGAATGAAACGGAAACGAGGGGGACATGATAACGACATGTAAAATCCTGAGGGGAAAGTGTTAATTATTTAATAAATGGACATATCTAGTGTAAGACAAGTAGAAAAAGGTGACATTTTGAGCATGTCAGAGGCCTGAATTTTTTTTTGTTTTTGTTTTAATAGTGACGAAACTGAATGGCCAAAAGTCACAATGGAAAAACAAAAGTTACAGGAAAAATGCAGGAAATAGGGAGTCATTGAATTAGAAAACTGGCAAGGCGGGGCTCAGGAGCTAGCATTTAAACCGAAGGCGCACACAGTTGAGTGCATTTAGGTGAGCGCACACACACACACGTGTAAGTTCAGGAGCTCCAAAGATATTTCACACGACTGGCACCGGAAATTAAAGGCTAGAGTTACGAGGACAGGTTAACAGAACCGAACCTTCAAACTCATGAGGAAAGTCAGGAGAAGACGACCACAGCCACGACCACAGGCAGAGAGCCACGACCACAGGCACGACCACAGGCAGAGAGCCACGACCACAGGCACGACCACAGGCAGAGAGCCACGACCACAGGCAGAGAGCCACGACCACAGGCAGAGAGCCACGACCACAGGCAGAGAGCCACGACCACAGGCAGAGAGCCACGACCACAGGCAGAGAGCCACGACCACAGGCAGAGAGCCACGACCACAGGCTAGTGGTCGTGATCTAGTGCACTTTGTGCTTATGCAGGTCCAGTCTTCCCCAGTAGCTTATTTAAGAATCCTTTCTGCAGTTTTACTAATGTTACTGAAATTGGTCTGTAATTACCAATTTCTTTCCGATTAGAAATCGGAATTATGTCAACTTTCCTCCGAGAGATCGGTAGTGTATCTAGCTTCCAAGATGCATTGATAACGTTCAATATCCCTTTCCTACAGCAAGGGAAAGTTAGTTCTTGCCTTTCTAGTTAGTTCTTGTCTTGTATAGGAACAGTTACCTTCGTCGAGGTGAGGGAGGCTGAAGTGGTGATGCGAGTGGTGAGGGAGGCAGGGTGGTGGTGGTGGTGGGGATGAGGGAGTTGTGTTGTGAAGGTGGCTGAGTGTGAGGGTCAATATACCACCACCACACAGCCTCCTCACCCACAAGCACCATACACAGCTTACAAACTCTCAACTACTTGGTTAAAAACAAAAAAGTAATTTTCTCTCTGTTACCCCGGTGCTAAGTAGAGTAGAACTCTACATTTTGCTCATAATTGTAGAAAACATGTAAATCAATAATTGATGTGAAAGGAATTAGAAAAAAAGGGAGAAGAGTGGTGGCAAAGTTCACCCAGCCGCCAGGGAAGTACCTCCCATGGTACCCGAAGAGTATGTCAGGAAGAGTTCAGTCAACCACTGACAACCATGTTCCTTACATCAGCAGAGTTGGTCACTATTCCAGATTTGTGGAAGGTCCGAATGTTGTCCCTATTTTTAAATAGGGGAAATGGATCACTGACATCCAACTATCGTCCAATTAATTTAGCGTCAGTTGGGGAAAATTACTTGAAGGAATAATTGAAAATGCCATTCATGCAACTTTTTAAGAGTATAACTAACGGGCAACATGGCTTTAGAAAATAGCGAATCAGGGATGATACATTTACTCCCAACCACTTGGGCTGGACGGTTGAGCAACGGTCTTGCTTCATGCAGGTCGACGTTCAATCCCCGACCGTCCAAGTGGTTGGACA